CCTTGTAATAATCGTAAGTATATCGCAAGTGCCGACCTCGTACGAGAGGCCGACCTCGTGATCGTTTAATAAAATTGTGATTAAATCAAATCTTTCCTTTATTTCCAGTCCCGCACTTTCCATATTTTCCATTTTAACCGTTGACTGAAAACGCTCGTCAACATCTAAATAATCCAATATCCAATATTCCAAAATGCAATAATATCATAAGACAATTCAATAGGCGGAAGCAACATTCAATTATAGACCACCACTCGCCTCCCTCTGTCGTGCCCGCAATACTAACCTGCGTCAATGAAGAGCAGGTGGGGATGAGCACAAGAGGAACAGTAGTGCTCACCACTATGCAGTAAACGTTATTTACAATAATGAAACAGTAATCAATAATCAAAAGGTATGGTCTCAGCATGAACATAAGTCAATCAACATGTCACATCTCCAATCACAAACACCAATTTCATTACTCATGTGTACACACCTATCATTAGCAACTGTTAGTCTGTTCGACGGCACACCATATGACTTAGCTCTTCAACCAGACAATAGGAGTACATGTCGAAAGCACGCCATGTGACTTAGTTCGACACGCATATCGAAAGCACGCCATTGGACTTAGTCCGATATGGCCTTTCATTAGGACTTAGGGAGACTTGCCTCGCAAGGGCAACCGTACCGTAACTCGACGGGGACAACCGTACCGACGGCCGAAGCAGATCACATCGATAGGCTACATGGTTCACATGCATACATTGATCATACCACAAAAACATAAATAACATTTACGTCATAGCATTTTAAATAAAACCCACTTGGAACCGGACGATAAAGCAAAATAACCAGAAAGTCGTATGTGATCGAAATACCGCTCGTCAGACACCTACATAAGTCAAGTCAGTCCCATAAGCAACTATCTCGACTCTATACAGATAACGAGAATTATACTTAGTCGAATCACATCGACTAAGAAACTCGTGGAAGTTGTGGAGTTGGAACATTAGGACGACTCCTAGACTCGACCAACTAATTAATAAATCATACAAAGGCATGCAATAAAGGTTTGATACAAAAACGAGGTCATCAGATCAAGGACTTGCCATTAAAGCCAAAACCGGTCAAAAGAACTAGTTTTAAAATTTATAAGAATATGGCTATAAGGAGATAGGCTTGGACAACTCAATTCAAATTTTTACAGCACATAAAGAACTGAAAATTAAACATTTTCACCAAAGGTAAGCCCCTAAACATGCTCCTAACCAATTTAAATAAATTGAGCAAAATCTGGACAGAATTCAAATTAATTTATTTAAAATAGCTAGAATCAGATTTTAATTCTGAGATTTTTACAGTATCTAGATATCATTAAGAAAAGCAACATATCCAAAAATTAGCCAAACCGGACATGAACTCGATTTTATATGAATTTATTACGAAACAGCGCAGAAACGGTTTTTAAGTTTTGACAAGGCTACAAGCCATTTAAAAATCTCACATTTTAACTACATGTAATATAACATCAATGTGACAACATATCCAAAAATCAGAATTGTTTAAGCAATACACGAATTATAGTGATTTTAGTAAAAACGGGCTGCAGTACGATTTCCAAAAATCCACATCTTACAATATACACATCGAAACGATGCAAGGCCAAAGCCGTTACGTCAAGGACATTCCTAAGTCCAATAATCCATAGTACTTCCACGGGAAATATCACATTAACCTCAGTTTGAAAATTTTTCAAAGTGACGGCAATCACTTTGATATCCAATGACAATTATATATAAAAAATTTCACTCAAATTCATATTTAAGGCACGAATTTACTCAAATGACGCACGTTTCAGCAATTTTACACGTATATGAGCACTTAAGCATATATAGGAGCGAAACAATAAGTTGGGGGTTAGCCCAGGTACCGTTCTCGGGACGGAGTTACGAAACAGGACCAAACCGGGGCTAAACGGTTAGCACGTGCACGTTGGGGGTCGATTGCTTGCAGCTCGGACTACGGGACAGCAGCAAGGCCCTGCTGATACTCACAAACGACAATTCGAAGAGTACGTCGGGGCTCGCCGGCTAAGTTTGACACTCCGACGAAACTCGACGGGACTCAACGCCTACGTTCGGCACATCGACGGGACCCGACAGGACCCGACGGCTACGTTGGGGCTTGCAACCGTGAACTTGGTGATGATCGGGTCTTCACGGTTCACGCAGTCAGCAGGGGAAGGACACCGGTGATGGTTTGAGGATGATGGCCGGAAGTTGCAGGTTGCAGCGACGGGAGTTCTCGCCGGAATCTGCACAGGGACAAGCTCGCGATTTCGCTGCGGGGGAGGACCAGTCGGAATGGACTGAACTTGAGCGATGATGGAGCCTGATGATGGTGAAGATGGAACTCATCGGAACAGGGTAACTCGCGACAGAAGGTGCGGGGTTCACGGTTCGTCGGTGCTCTGATGCTCGCGGGTGGCTGAGTTCACGCGAGGAAGATGACGACGGTGCTGCTACTTGTTCGAACAGGATGATGGCGCGAGGAGATGGTTGCTGCAGATTGATGGAGAACAAAAAGATGATGATGGCCTGGTGATGTCGCGAGCAGGAGGCTTTCTTCCTTCCCTTTTTCTTCTTTTTTTTTAATGCTTGATCGATGAGGAAGATGGAAGACGTTGATGATGGTGCTGATCAATGATGCTGCAACAATGGTGGATGATGGAAGGTTGATGTTTCTGCTGGGGAAAAGCGAGAGAGAAAAGAGAGATCGATGGAGGCTGCGGGTCATAGAGAGAGAAGAGAGGGATTTACTTAGGGTTGACATAACACTTGCCAAACTTAGCCAACAAGGAAAACACAAGAGTGAGAACCGGGTAGGACTTCAGGTGCGACGCGGGTTGCTGGTTCATTAATTATTATAGATGATATAGCCTATTATCATGGCCCGGTTCAGATAGTGATTGTGCGACTAAAGACTGCGGACGACTTCACTAAGTCGATACCTACGATGTCGACTTGGCCCATCGGCCGTTCAAAAGTCGTCAGTCCGGCCACGGTCTCTAGTCGACTTTATGAAGTCGACCGGGTACAAGACGACTTCGCTGAAGATGATGAGCAGGCACTCTAGGAGCCCCCGGATACTTGTGTAACCTTAGATCGACTCGGCAAGGTCCCAAGTCGACTTATAAAGACCTCCGACGACTTGATATACAGATGCGACACATGGATGGTCCCCAAGTGCGAGTTTACACAGGATAAGAAGGAATCTAGATGCTGACTCAAGAGTAAGCGGAAGGCGAACCGACCAGGGCATTTTGGACACTTCGTGTAAGTCGGCCAGGGCATTTTAGGTACTTCAAGTAAGTATTTCTACTCCTATATAAAGGAGCTGAGGTAACTCCAAACCCTAACTTTCATTCTCTTCATTCATTATTCAGCTGTTGCTCCCACTGAGCAGAGCTCATCTTCTTCTCTCCCACTGACTTGAGCGTCGGAGGCTCTTCACCGGAAAACACTTCCGGTGTTGAGTTATTGCAGGTGCTCGCAGTGGTCCACGGGCGACTTGGAGACGATTCAAACATATCGGAGCTCATTTCCAGCGGTTCACTCCAAATCTAGGAGGAGACCCCTCAAATTGGCGTCGTCTGTGGGGAGTTCTTGAAGGAAGTAAGAGCTTTGCACCTAGTTCCGATCTGTTTGACATGGCGGAGAAGGAAGGATTGTCGAGAAATGTGAGCGAGGATTTTCAGGCAGCGTGGATAGATAAACGGCCGTCGTCGATTCCTGGCCCTAGACCACCACTTCAGGTGCTCGGTTTTCCGCCGTTCGGAGGGCACGCGCCGTCGAGAGCGCGTAGGGAGGAAGAAACACCCATCACACCACCTGGAGTGAAGATTCCAGGGCTAACACAAGGAGGATCTAGCCAGACAAGGGCCACCGACACGGGAACTGACGAGAACGAGTCGACCAAAATGGTTTTGAGCTTGGGAAAGCAGTTTGAAATGCTGGAGGAAGGGGCAAGACCACTACCCCAGGTCGAGGAGCAAATGATGACCGTGACGAGGAGTGAAATGCAGAGAATGATTGCAGAGGCGATGGCAGCCCGATTCGAGCAGGTGCAAGTCGAGCAGCCCAGGGTCGAGCAGTCTAGGGTCGAGCAGCCTAGGGTCGAGCAGCCTAGGGTCGAGCCACCACCCCGTAATCACGAGCAATAGGCCCAGTCCAATGATAGGCAGATCAGAAGGGTGGAGGAGGAAGCGTCCTCCATCAGGACCGCCAACCCGCAAGCGAGAGATGAGACGCTGGAGCAGTTGCTGGCCCAAGTTCGCGATTTACAGGCCCGAGTCGAGGGGAGGAAAGTTGGAGGCTCGAGGGGACATCCGTTCTCGCAGCACATCCTGGATGCCGACCTGCCGCAAGGTTTTCGTGATCTAAACATAAGTTATGATGGGTCGACCGATCCATCGCGTCACATGAGGAGTTTCGAGAATATGGCACTGCTGCATCGTTATAATGACCCGGTGCAATGTCGAGCCTTCCTATCGACTTTGCGGGGGTCTGCGCAGGATTGGTTTCATCAACTACCAGCGAGAGCCATCAAGGATTTTGAGGGATTCAGTGCGAGCTTTCTCAATCAATTTGCGAGTGTCAGACCGCAAGAGAAATCGTATTTGACCTTAATGGGCATCCAGCAGAGAGAAGGTGAGTCGCTACGAGACTATGTGGCGAGATGTACACGAGCATGCGTCGAGGTGACCAGGGCATCGGAGGAAATAAAGGCAGGAGGTTTGACCCGAGGGTTGCTACCGGGCTTGTGCAGGAATTCTTTGGCGAAGCGCCCAGCTAGAATGTTCGATGAGGTGCTGGGGAGATGCGCGAAGTATATGAATGTCGAAGAAGCGGAGGTCGATTTCTCAAGAACAGTTAAAGGAAGTAAGGCTGACCCTCGAGATGAGAGAAGGGAGAAGAAAGTTTCCTCGACTGGGGAAAGGAAAGGATCCCCACGAGCAGAGAGAGAGGGACGATCTAGGGGTTGGAGGCCAACTCAATACACCCCTTTGTCGGCCCCCCAAGCGCGAATTTTGGAGGTGATGGAAAGAGAAATTCATGACAATGTCGTCAGATGGCCCAAGACAAGGAAGGACGGACCAATGACACCAAAGAGTAATCTATATTGCCGATTTCATAAGGACTATGGGCACAATACTGATGACTGTAGGTACCTTAAAGACGAGATCGAAAGGTTGATTAAGGCAGGACACTTGAAGGAATTCATATATAAGGACCGGGAAAAGTCGAGCAGGAGGAGAGAAAGGAGCAGGAGCCCTCGCAAGAGGGCAAGAACGCCTGAGAAGGAGGAGCTTCCTCAAAAAAGGGGAGTTATACATATGATATTCGGTGGTTCGACAGATGGAGATTCGAACCGAGCAAGGAAGGCATACGCTCGGGGGCGTCATGGAAAAGTCGAGGTACAGCAAGTCGACGAAAATGGTCCAGTGATGAATTTCGGGCCAGCGGACGTGGAAGAGGTCGAGAGGCCTCACAACGATGCCCTGATGATAACCGCTCAAGTGTCAGGATACGAAGTACAGAGGGTGTTTGTCGATACTGGGAGTTCAGTGAATGTAATATTCTATGATTGTCTCAAAAGGATGGAGCTGGACATACAACTCACACCCCTCCATACCTCGTTGTTCGGTTTCAATGGGTCAGAAGTCGCGCCCCTAGGAGAGACCATGCTCGCTGTCGTCCTAGGGGAAGGCGACTTGCGGAAGGTAAAAATGGTGAGATTCGTGGTAGTCGATGTCGAGTCAGTTTACAATGTGATCCTGGGAAGGCCCGCGCTTAATGCATTTCAGGTTGTGGTGTCGACTTACCACATGAAGTTGAAATTCCCAGTCGGAGACCGAGTGGGAGAAGCTAGAGGCGATCAAAAGTGTTCGAGGACTTGTTATCAAATTGCTGTGAAAACTAACCAACGGGCCGAGGTCAAGGAAGGGAAGAAGCCAATTTCGAGTGAGAAAAGGCCGAGGAGTAGTGACCTTGAGCCACACGGGGAGTTGATGGAAATACAAATTGGAGAAACGGAGGAACAAACCACTAAGATCGGAAAAGACCTAAGAGACGAGCTGCGAGACCAACTCATCGCATTATTAAAGGAATTCAGGGATGTTTTCGCCTTCACCCCTGAGGAGTTGACGGGGATCGACCCTACCATTATGGAGCATAAACTCAACGTCGATCCCCTCAGAAAGCCAGTGAAACAACGACTTAGACACCATGGAGGGGAAATCGACAAAGCCATTGAAGTCGAGGTGGATAAGTTGCTGCGAGCCGGGCACGTTAAGGAGATCCAATTTCCCGAGTGGATATCCAACACCGTAATGGTAAGGAAGGCACTAAACAAATGGCGTATGTGCATCGATTTTCGCGATTTAAACTTGGCCTGCCCAAAAGATCATTATCCTTTGCTGCGAATTGATCAGCTAGTCGACTCCACGGCTGGCTGCAAGTTGCTGAGTATGATGGATGCATCCCAGGGATATCATCAGATTCTGTTGGCCCCTGAAGATCAGAGTAAGGTGAGTTTTGTGACGAGCAAAGGGAAGTACTGCTATGTCGTTATGCCCTTTGGGCTTAAGAATGTGGGAGTAACTTACCAACGATTGATGGATCGTATGTTCAAATCGCAAATCGGACGAAATATCGAAGTATATGTGGACGATATCTTGGTGAAGAGTAAGTCCTCGTCATCACACCCAGGCGATTTAAGGGAAACATTTAAAACCCTTAGGGCGTTTGGAATGAAGTTGAACCCAAGCAAGTGCGCCTTTGGAGTAAAAGCAGGTTGATTCCTGGGGTACATCGTCACAGAGCGAGGAATTGAAGTAAACAGGGAGAAGGTGAAAGCTATACTCGACATGGCCCCGCCAAGAAATATAAGAGAGGTGCAAGTACTCACAGGAAGGATTGCGGGGCTAAGCAGGTTCATTGCTCGAGCCGCAGAAAGAAGCTTCCCATTCTTCAAATTACTCAAAAAGAAGTCGGCTTTCTTATGGAGTGACGAGGCACAAATGGCCTTTGAAAAATTACAAGAATTCTTGGGCGAGATACCTTTGTTGACAAAACCCGAGCCCGGTGATGAGTTGGTACTATATATATCGGTGGGCTCGGTATCGTTAAGTTCGGTGCTATTGCGAGAAGAAGGGGGTGTCCAGCAGCCAATTTACTATACCAGTTGAGTTCTTCAGGGTCCGGAGGCGAGATACTCTGAGATCGAAAAAGCCGCCTTGACACTGGTGATAACGGCTAGAAAACTAAGGCCATATTTCCTGAACCATGTGCTAGTAGTCAGGACGAACTTCCAATTAGGCGAAACACTGGGCCGACCCACGGTATCGGGTCGACTCGTCAAATGGGCAGTTGAGTTGAGCAAATATTCCATCAAGTACGAGCCGAGGCGAGCCATAAAGGCTCAGGCCTTGGCAGATTTTATCCAGGAAGGCACCAAGGGAAAGGAAAAGAAATGGATCATACACGTCGATGGGTCCTCAGCGGCTAAAGGATCAGGTCTGAGAGTCGTCCTTGTATCACCTGAGGGCAAGCAACTCGACTTCGCCATTAGATTGGGGTTTAAGGCCTCAAATAACGAGGCAGAATACGAGGCGTTAATCAAAGGAATACAACTCGCAATCGGCGAAGGAGAAACAAAAATTGTCGCACATTCCGACTCGCAATTAGTTGTCGGACAAGTGTTGGGAAGTTGCGAGGTCAAGGAAGGGCGAATGATGAAATATGTCGAGGAAATACAAAGTCTGGTTCAGGGATTGGAGAAGTTCGACCTAACACAAATCCCTCGAGAAGACAACAAACGGGCAGACTGGCTCGCAAGGATGGCGAGCTCGAATGATGGAAAGATGGGAAGTTCTATCACCACCATGCATTTGGAAGGAAGCGTGTTGGGTAAGATGATGGAAGTCGAGGAAAAGAACGACTGGAGAAAATCGATTCGTGAACTCCTACAGGGTCAAGAACCTATGGGAGATAAGCAGGAGGCAGAAAGGGTCGCTCGACATCTAAGCAAATATTTTGAAATCGACGGCGTCATATTCAAAAAATCTTTGGTTGGGCCCCACTTGCGATGCGTTTCTGAAGACAAAGGAACCCATGTCTTGAAAGAAATACATGAAGGATGTTGCGGAGCACATATAGGATCACGAGCCTTAACAGGCAAAGCCCTGCGAGCAGGATATTATTGGCCCAAGATGCGATCAATGGCGGAACAGCTGGTCCAGAAATGTGAGAAATGTCAACGTCATGGGCAAATCACTCATATCCCCGTCGAATACATGACGACCATAAGCACCCCGATCCCCTTCGCGCAATGGGGAATCGACTTGGTGGGACCATTGCTGACAGGAACAGGGCAGAGGAAGTTCATAGTAGTCGCTGTCGACTATTTTACCAAGTGGGTCGAAGCGGAGCCGTTGGCAAAAATTACAGAGGAGAAGATGATTCAATTCCTGTTTAACAACATCTGTTGTCGGTTTGGAGTTCCGAAAGTGCTAATTTCTAACAATGGGACTCAATTCCAAGGAAAACGAATTCAAGCATGGTGCCTCGACATGGGAATAAAGCAAAGATTTGCCTCGGTCGCACACCCCCAGGCTAATGGCCAAGTCGAAGTGACTAATCGAACCATTCTCCAAGGGTTAAGAAGAGATTGGAGAGAGCATCAGGTGCTTGGGTCGATGAGCTGACAACAGTTCTATGGGCTTACAGGACGACCCCAAGAAGCTCGATAGGCCAGTCGCCATTTCACATGGTTTACGGAATGGATGCACTCTTGCCTATCGAAGTCGGCTTAGATTCTCACGGGTCGACATTTTATGAGAAAAAGAAGAATGAAGAGATGATCGAAGAAGCCCTCGATATGATAGAAGAAGGACGAGAGGAAGCTTGGGTGCGATCCATGGAATATAAGCAGAAGATGCGTGTAGCCTTCGACAAAAAAGTCCGCACCAGACGTTTTCAAGTAGGAGATCTCGTCCTCAAACGAGCAGATGCTCTTAGACATGTCGGGAAGCTTGAAGCTAACTGGGAAGGACCTTACACCATCACCAAAGTGCTCGAAAGAGGAGCATATGAACTCGAGGATGGCGAGGGGCGACAGTTGCCGCGATCTTGGCACGTGATCCATCTCAAACGCTTTTATGCCTAAGATAGTATTTTAAACTGTTTTGTACTGAACAATGCTTAATCAAATTCAGTAATGCAATGACTTCCAAAGCTTATGTTTAAGTTGTGTGTTTTACATTTCCATGTCGATTTTATTATGATTACTCGAAAAATCGAATTTTTCAAAACGGCTTTGAAGCCGCCTCACGCTGACGACTATGAAATCGATCTATAACAACTACGAAGTTGTACTCGAGTGGAATCTCGACTAAGCTACGAAGCTTACGACTACGAAGTCGGCCTGAAACAACTACGAAGTTGTACTCGAGTGGAATCTCGACTAAGCTACGAAGCTTACGACTACGAAGTCGACCTGAAACAACTACGAAGTTGTACTCGAGTGGAATCTCGACTAAGCTACGAAGCTTGCGACTATAAAGTCGATCTATAACAATTACGAAGTTGTACTCGAGTGGAATCTCGACTAAGCTACGAAGCTTATGACTACGAAGTCGGCCTGAAACAACTACGAAGTTGTACTCGAGTGGAATCTCGACTAAGCTACTAAGCTTACGACTACGAAGTCGACCTGAAACAACTACAAAGTTGTACTCGAGTGGAATCTCGAAAAAGCTACGAAGCTTGCGACTATGAAGTCGATCTATAACAACAACGAAGTTGTACTCGAGTGGAATCTCGACTAAGCTACGAACCTTCCAACTATGAAGTCGACCTAAAACAACTACGAAGTTGTACTCGAGTGGAATCTCGACTAAGCTACGAAGCTTGCGACTATGAAGTCGATCTATAATAACTACGAAGTTGCCACTCAAGATGAACCTCGACTAAACTATAAATCCTACAATTATGAAGTAGACCCTAAACAATCACGACATTATAACAACCGCAAAAAATTACAAGTTGAAAAACTTCATTGTTTACCAGTTATGAAGCTGCTAAAATCCTTGCTCGTCTTCGACTAGCTCGCAAGCCGGGTTGGGAGAAGACGAGTTGAAAAACTTCATTGTTTACCAGCTATGA